GATTACCAGCTTTCTTGTAGATCGGAGCATCTAGGTCGTTGTAGACGGTGCATGCTCCGACTACAACCCTATTAATGCTGTGTTCCACAAGGGTGCGTGTTATCGCCAACGCTGTTTCTTCTGCATATCAATGATATGTTGCGAAGTGGTAATATTCATTGCTGCGGATGACAGCACTGGTGATGCTCTATACACCGGTCGTGCCAATATTTCTCGGTAATACTTCGCCGAGTACCGGAACATACTTGTGTCTAAAGTCTGGTCTTTGCTGAACAGTCTCGGATTGGGGCCGACTAAATCTAGTCCAGTTTAAATCTCAGAAGACAAGTATGCGCGTTTACCGCGAAAAAAAACCCCTTTGTCGTATCTCCTCAGTTTCAAGGCACTCCCCTCATTGCCTCAGTCAGTATCGGAATCCTCGGCGTCAACATATCGAGTGACGTGCAGTTTCGTGGTCACTTGGAAAAGAAGGCCAAATTGGCCTCTAAAAAGCTTGGCGTGCTCAGCAGAGCGGGACAGTATTTCAGACCGGCACATCGTCTGCAACTTTACAATGCGCAGGCTCGGCCTCACAAGGAATACTGTTCCCATCTCTAGGCTAGGCTGGGGCTCCGCAGTGCCAGCTCCTTCCACTTGACCCCATCGAGCTGCTCGAATCGTCGACTACAGAGTCCTTACCGATCGGCTCGATTCACTGACGCTGCGAAGAGATGTTACATCCCCTTGCATTTTCTTTTGCATTTACCACGGGGAGTGCTCTGAGGAATTGTTCGGATTAATCCCAGCCGCCAAATTTTAGGAACGCATATCGCGGCAAAACTCCCAATACTATCCACACCATCTGGATGCTTGGCGGTCCACCACTGTACGTTTTAGTTTTCTTACGCGTACCACCTCTCTGTGGAATAGTTTACCACCGGTGATTTTTCCGGACCGATACGACTTCGGGGCCTTCAAGGAAAGAGCTTACTCCTTTCTAAAAGGCCCCCAACGCACCTGCATTTCCCCTGGTGTTGAAGTTGTTCATAGACGGCGATAGCCACCATCAGGTAAGCCGTATGCTCGTTTGCCCCCTCTCCTATAAAAAAAATAGTATATAATACTTCAATGTAAATTAACTGTGCAAATCTCAGAGTAATATGTATGTAATTACACTTTTGACTTTTTTTAACCTTTTAATTTAGTTTTTATATACATAATTCAAAAAAATATCCCAGACGTTTTTGTCGGTTATAAAGTACCTACAAAAAATTTTAAATTCCCAAAAAACATACTTTTTAACACAAAATTAACATTTTGTTTCTTCAGATATAATATGAATTTTTGTATCTAATTTTTATAATAACATCTAAACATTAACATTTATAAAACAACATGAAGCAAAGAAACGGCGATATTTTTTTCTCGCTTTATTTTTACAAGCCCAACACAAATATGACAAAATCATGATGCAGATTCTCAGCTTTCATACGAAGTTGCATAAACCCTGGCCTAGATATTTTATTTGACAAGAATGTTTGATTGGATATTATTTTCACATTGCTTATTTGTGAAACAGAAGAAAATGATAAGAAAAGGAAGAATATCTGAAAAAATAAAACAAATATTTGGGTTCATGATTTATGGAAGAAATGAAAACTTTACTCCTTCGCGCCACTTCCCGCGTATTCCACAGACTGCGCAGAAATTCTTATTTTAGCTCATATCTTTAGTTTGTACGTTACACAACATAAAATTCATTTTATTATGTACAATTTAATTTCCATTCGTTCCGCGGCAATGTAAATTGAGCCCAACTATTTTAATTCGATTTAGCCCTAAAACCACACCAGAGTACCACCAACATTCGGCCTCCTGACAAGATAATACGGTTACTTGTAGTAGCGCAAAACCGCCCCTAGTGTCTGCATTTGAGCAGCGCCATAAAATTGATGATGTTAAACCGAAGCTGTAGGAAAAACTATTCCCAAAATAAGAGTAAAAAACAAAGGTTAAATTAAATTCAATATAATTATACATCAATTTATTAATCGGAATTTAATACTGTATTACATAGAAGAAATGCACTTTTTAGAAACATTCAGAAGACTTCCCTTTGGGACAAGTTTATACGGAGCCTCTTCTCTCCACTAATTTTATTTTATACTTGAATAAATATAAACTATGTACTTCTTCGTTAATATAATCAATATTTATGAAGATCTGCATTGCCACATACTTAAAATTCTATGTATATTTTTCACCAACTCCGAATTTTGAAAAATAAAGCTATAATTAATGTGAATGCATGAACCTATTTTGATTTCAATAGTGAGAAACTGATTGAATAAATAAAATTTCGCAAATTAACAACAAATAATAATAAAATAACTCTGTTTTATTACTGTCGCTGCCACATAATTTGTCAACAACATTTTTCATCACATTAAATGAAAGAAGAAATGAACAAATTTTAATGATTGTATATCAAATTTTATAATTGTGGTGACCTGCTTAGAAAGGCATTTTGACACATATCCAACATAGTGAATAACAAATTTTGAAAAAAAAAAAACAGCACAAGAATGCTATTATTATAAATACAAACATCTTAATCCATTCAGTCAAAGTGGAACATGTATAAAATATTCAATTAGAAATAATTATAATCAGTCTTGTTTAGAGAAAAGTTTCACCATAACGTGTTGAAACAAAGTACACGTCTCGATATATTTATTATCACAATACAATATGTCAGATATGATGTCATTCCTTCTCTTGGACGTAACTAGTATACAAATCGCCTGCTACGCTACTTAGTGTTATTATCACAGTTGTTTAGTAGAGGTGGGTGCAGTACTTTGTACATAATACAGGAGCTACCTGTAATCCGCGACCATACTTGACATGACACTTTCTGATCTCTAATACGTACACAACTAACTAGACCTGCCTCCTTGTGCAACAATAATACTAAATCATGTTTGAAGATCTCTTTAACACGAATAAGCAACAACTACCCACGCTTTTGCAGTGAACAGGCAGGACTAAAGTTTTCATCTTTGAGATGAAATTTGCACAAATACACATTCTTTTGCTTAAAATGTACATAAATAATGAAGCAAACCTCGCATAGCATTTCTTTTAAACGCGAGATTCACAAACACGTTGGTCACCCCTCATATTCATTCAGACCCATTGTTATAAAACACCATAATGTGAGATGAAGATAAACATGGGGTTCATAGATAATAACGTTTACGTCCCTTTTAACTGGTATAATTTAGTCACCTCATGGTAAACTGAGAACTAAATTGAATAACAATAAAATATTAAATCTTACATCTATCATCATATTTATATTATATCTGGGAACGACTTGTAAGCTTTGTTGTCACAAACATTCATGAAATTCGTTCAAATAGTCAAAAAATATATTTTTGTCTAGTAAAACACGTTCCATGCACAAGAAGTGTACCTATGTATAACAATTGACCAACGCAACGACAGGTTATAGTAGTAATGAAATATCACAGATTTTTACTCTTTCGACAGTAATGGGCTTCTAAAACAAGACCACACAAATACCTCAGACTACTTTGTACCAATTGACTATTGTTGTTATAGTCCTTAGAACCCCTTTACGTAGAAAGAAATTCCAGTCGATTAACTAGAAGCGTTTGTGAAATTATGTAAGTAAAAATAATCAAAAACAATTATATGAAGTAAACACTTATTTGGCTAAGAAAAGAAAATAATCACTTCTAGATTATAATGCTCACATTACTAATCTTCCTACATTAAATGCAATGTATTTACATTCTTCCTGTTTTTGACAACTTCAGAATCAATTTCTATAGCATTCAAAGACCAGCTGACTGTATAAAGTCACATTGACGTAAGACTAAATACACTAGACATAATACTCAAGTTTAAGATCTAATCGTAATAAAAATAACTTCGAAATCAGTGACTTGAAATGTCATTGACATCTTCACGTAAGAAAAATGTTTACAATTTTATCTGGCAATACAGATTGTTATTTATGAAATATATTAAAAAGCATTTTAATTTTCTAATACTAAGTTGTCCCATTCATTTCACTGGTAAAGATCATCATTAACAATAAAATAATTTATATAAAATATATCTGCCGTTTGAAAGCCCTCCCTCTAATTTTATCTCATCTTCTATATGTTTCGTGCATTTCGTACATCATACAGACATTTAAATACGAAAGGCACCCCGGGATTACACATGAGGGTACCCACACCAACTACTCTAACAAATATAATGATTAAAATCTAAGGTGAAATCACAATTTTATTCATATATTCCACCATGTTGTTAATTTTGGCTAGTTACTGTTGACCATATTAATGCTATATAATATTCAATTGACACTAACAGAAATGCTCCTGAAAATTTACTATATAATAATAATAATTTAATTTATAAACTAAAACCTTAACCTTTTTATCTACAGAAAGAAACAGACAATTTTAAAATGAGCATTAGAAAGTAAGTAATGTGGTCAACAGTCACACAACACCAAATGTTATAAACTAACACACTTAATATACATATTAATTTTACTGTTTCTGAAAGAGAATTTAAGAACAATTACATTCCACATATAAGTGCATAATATGTATAGCTCTTTTGTAATGTAACACTGAATAATCAAGTGCAACTTGTACAAAACATATTAGTTATACTAATAAAGGTTGCTTCTTTCTTTTAGGTACTAATATGGAATATTCATTCAGATCTACAAAACAATTATTAAAAATAGTGATCAAAAAGAGTCCAACTGGCTATCTCCCCTATTTTTGGAAATAATAGGACTAAATTCAGTATCAAAATCTGAACTTTCGATAATTGAGAGAGCTCAATTTTATTTAAAGGTATTAAAATTATTTCTAAAATTAAACACACTGAGCCCAGGAATAAATTACCAACTAGCAGCTAGTGTTTAATGTAAGAGCACATGTAATCAGTGTGTATGTAGGAAAGGAAAGTTACTGTTGTATGGGGGCAGCATAGACCAATGGACCAGGTGGTAAATGCGGGTAAGCGACTCCGGCTCCGACAGCTGCTTGATAACCACAAGGACCGGCCCCTCCAACACCTCCTCCATAAAATTTACCACCTGTTTAAAAAAAACACAATGAAAAATTTGTAAACATTTAAAAGATTTATTGTTTATTTACAAATCAGTAGAATAACTTATTTTAAGTAAGATATAATTAACAATTATAAGAAGACCGTGAGTCTGCTATGTGATCATAATAAAGCATAGGCTACAAATAGTCATATTATTTACACTATTAAATTACATTTATACTAGTAAATAAATGGAAATTGTAAAAACCTTTCTATATAGACAAATAATTTCTCATATTATTTTTATTCTAAACTTTACTTGAATTATAAATTGTGGAGGTATACTTGTCAGAATTGTTATTGCTGAAAAGCTAGCTATTACCAAATTAAATTGATATTGTTATAAAAAAAAACGAATACTAACCTAGCATTTCCTGATGATGTGGATGCATTTGCGGGTAATGGGCAGGGGTGGCAAAGTGAGGTGGTGGTGAACCATAAGATGATCCAGATCCTCCCGATTTGTTACCTCCATTGGAGTTATTGTTACGATATTGCTGTCCATTATTGCGAGAATCTAAAGATACAAAAAATGTAAATGCAAAACCAATAACATTGGAAAAAAAATTCTTGTGAAACATATTTTCATATAATACTTACTGGTAAACTGTCTCTGGCCATAGCTATTTTGATTATTATAATTATTTTGATATCCATTGTTATAACCACCTTGATAACTGCCCATGGAGTCAAAAACATTAGGGCTAGGGAATGGCACCTGTTTTTGATAGTTATTCTGTCTGTAGCCTTGGTTGTTTTGCATCGGATTTGAGAATCGAGGAGCTTGTTGGTTAGCATTACGATTCTGATAATTGCTTTGAATATCCTCATTGCTTGTATTTGCCATTTTGTTGTTCCATTGATTACTCTGCTGACGAGGTGAACTAGAACCACTGTTATTCTCTTTCCTTTGTTGCCAGCGATTTCGACCTGAATAGAAATTTGGAAATGTTACAAGATTTCCCCATATTATAAAAAAATATAATAAAACAATTATATTTACCAGAGTTGTTATTGTTGCTTCTTGCCATATCATTTAATTTAGCTGGAGGATTTTGACCAGTTTCACGCAAAACAGCAACAAGGCCACGAGCTTGACGAGCATCACCGCTTGTGAAGAATGTATATGCTGTGCCAGATTGTTGACATCGGCCAGTACGTCCTGTTTTTAAAACAGTTTATTTTTTTGGCATAAATTACTAACTATACAAAATATATGGTATTTTATTGTGAAAATTAAAATAAAATTTTATTATGTTATTTACCAATTCTATGTATGTAATCTTCTGAAGAGTTGGGATAATCATAATTCACAACAAATTTAACATCCTCAACATCTAAACCTCGAGCAGCTACATCAGTAGCAATTAGGATTGTGGTAGCCCCATTTCGGAATTCGGTCAAAACAGCATCACGTTCTGGTTGAGACTTGTCACCATGGATTGCCAAAGCTTTATATCCATTGCGGCGTACAGCTCGTGCTATGTCATCCACCTTAAATAATATTTAAAAAATTTCATAAAAACAGTATTTTGTCTAGGGTTAAGAAATTTAACAATTTGTTAAACATGAAATAGAATTGCTAACAAAAATTACAAACTTTTATCAAGGTTAGTAGCTTAAATACCTTTTTAATATCTAATTCTTTAAATGATGGAAACATTTAGTTTACTTTTTATTATAAGCATATTAGATTGAATACACATCACATTTTATTGCTAAGTCAATTACCTTTTTCTTAGTTTCTACAAAAACAATTACTTTATTGTCTTTTTCAGAAGCAATCTCTTTTAAAAGATTTGTAAGTTTGTTTTCCTTTTCATGTTCTTCACACACTTCTACAATTTGTTTTATGTTGTTGTTAGCAGAGAGATTTAATGAACCAATGTTAACTTTAATGTAATCATTCAAAAAGTCTTCAGCTAGAGCTTGAATTTCTTTTGGCCAAGTTGCAGACCACATCAAAACTTGGCGATCTGGCCTGATCTGCTCAATTATCTTACGAATCTGAGGCTCGAAACCCATATCTAACATTCTGTCAGCTTCATCTAAGACCAAGTAAGTGCACCGCCGCAAATTAGTTGTTCCACGTTCAAGGAAATCAATTAAGCGACCAGGAGTGGCAATAACAATTTCTACACCTCTTTCCAAGTCTCTAGCTTGAGGTCCTTTTGGAGAACCACCAAAAAGGCATGTATTCCTAATGCAACCGCGAGCACTATATGCTTGGGCTACAGATTGAATTTGTTGAGCAAGTTCCCTAGTAGGAGCTAATATGAGTGCAATAGGGCCATCACCACGTTGAATACGTTGTTGATGCACAATATGAACAGCTGCAGGAAGCATGTAAGCCAGAGTTTTGCCTGACCCAGTAGAAGCAATTCCTACCATATCACGGCCTGATAAAGCAATAGGCCATCCTTGTGCTTGAATGCCTGTAGGTTCATCCCAACCCTGCTCTTTAATTGTATTTAGAATGTGATCAGGAAAATTTCCTTCATCAAACATTTGGTTAGGACGAGGAACATTATTACCACTCACTGTTATTTCTTTTGTTGCTCGGAAAATTTGGACATCTTCTTCACTGCGGGCTTCAACATTGGCATGTGGTTTATAGAAATCCTTCATGATGGGTCCAAGTTTTGACAAATCCCACATAGGTTTAATCAAGCTATCACCTGGATGTTTTGCTTTCATACTTTGAAGCTTTCGTCCTTTAAATTCAAGCGATTGTTGCTGATTCTGTCCCATAGTTGGGCTGTATGATTTCTTGGGGCCAAAATTTTGTTGATTAGGGTTTGCTTGGGTGACATTGTAATTTTTAGGGCCATAATTGTTTTTTTGAAAGTTTTGTTGTTTGGGTCCACCAAAATCACTTTGTCCATTGTAAAACTGATTACTGCCAGCTTTGTCTGAATCATAATCATTCTTATTTTGTTGATTATTGAAATTGTTTCTTGGCCTGTAATCCTTAGGTCCTCCAAAATCATTTTGGTTCCCAGTATCATTTTTATGGTTGTTAAAATCGTTCCTTACTCCATTGAAATCTGTTCTAGGCCTGAAGTTTTTATTACCCATATTGTTTCTAGGCCCAAAATTTTTTGGCCCTCCAAATTCGTGCATGCCATTGAAAAAAGGCATTTTACCGAATTGTTCATTCCGGTCAAGTCGAGGTCTGAACCTAAAAATAATAATAATGTATGTTATGAAGAATATATTTATACATTCAATACCTACACAGATCTATAAGTTATATCGGGGGGCACGGCAGTGCCCCCGCTAAGTCGAGCAAAAAAGCGGCGCGGCACGGCCGTACAATCCTTTTGTCGAAGCAGTTCGGGCCATTTTCGACCCCCTATAACTTCGTTGTGGATAAAACTAGAAGCCTGAATTTTCAATAACCAATCAGGCATTGTATAGACACTGTATATTTCAAATTTCATTAAATTTGAACCAGTAGTTTAAGAATTATAACTAGTCAAAGTTTCTTAATTTTGTCACTCACTGACTGACCGATCATCAAAACTCTAAGGCATTTCTAGCAGACATACAAGCTTCAAATTTAGAATACAATTAGTGTTTAGTGTATAAATCAAGGAAAAGTTAAAATATTTTGCAACTTTGGTCCAGTTTTCTAGAGACATCAACTGCATAACTATGTAATCCCATACAAATATATAGATTACAAAGCTACATTTGCAGTGAATACATCAGTGTACCTGTATATGTATAATATAATGGAATAATAGGTGTAGATAGATACCTAGATATAACTATCTACAAAAAGAAATAAGATACCGTCAAAAACATAACTTGTAAAAAAAAACAAGTCTTGCAACTCAGTTCTTCTACCGTAAAAATTGTGAGATCCGTGTAATACCAAGTGTGTTAATTTATTCAGTCCATTCTTAAGGGTCTTTCTGTCTTAAGTTATTACGTAATTAGCTAACCTAACAACATCTTATAGTGACCACATCAATATTAAAAATCTTTTATGTTTTAAATAAATAGATTGACTTGGCCATCACATGAAAACACAATGTATCTCACTAGTAATACATATTATATTAAATTAGATTGTTTAGTGCGATTGCCAAGTCAATCTATTTATTTAAAACATAAAATATTTTTATTATTGATATGGTCAATATAGGATGTTGTTAGGTTAGTTAATTACGTAATAACTTAAGACAGAAGGACTTATAAGAATGGACTAAATAAATTAACAGACTTTGTATTACATGGCTCTCACAATTTTTACAGTAGAAGAACAGAGTTGCAAGACTTGTTTTTTTTTTACAAGTTATGTTTTTGACGGTATTTAATGTTTGCTGATCAATACAAGCAATATTTTTTCACTAATACACCAATGTTCCTTTCGTACTTAAAAAAATTATTATAAACATGAGTTTTTCACAATTTTTAAGTTTTCAAATCTGCCATAAGTGTAATCCAAACACAACTTATGAAAATAAATGCCCTGCTAAGATATTGTACTCTTAAAACAAAAACTTTTATAGTTCATTCTAATAACCTACTAACTTCCACAATTTATTTTACAGATTACTACTAAATTTCTTTATTATGTTACAACTGTAACGCTTAATCTATCAATGTAATATAATGTAATTTTCACCAACTTATAGATGGCCGATTGACTTGAAAATTCGACTGATGACATTACTATAATTTAACTTTATTTTAATATCCTGATTAGGATCACCAGAATAAAATAAATGTAAATTATTATTTATATCAATTTTATTATTATGTAACCTAACTCATTTCTTATTTTACCTTTTAAATTAACCACATAGATATAAGGGATATTTTTTTAATATCTCTAATATAAACAAAGGTACGACTTTCTATTGACGTCAGTGGAGTATGGTGTTGATACGTATTTTTACAGAAAGATTACACTGTTATAAGCACACACACAAAGTCTCAATATACGGAAACGCGTAATTTTTGAGAAAAGAATAATTGAAAATCAATTATTCTTGCAATGTTTATGTCTAATCTGCTAATAAACTGGTGCCATTTTGTAATGTCATTGTCGACGTCAATAGGGATGTCGATTCTTTCCGAAAAAGGTCGATTTTTAAATCGATTCAAATCGTAAGCTGATGTATCGATTCCCGAAAAATCGATTTCTAAAATATCGATATTTTTTTCATGTTTGCATTTATAATGTAAATATAAATCCATTTTATGAGAAAAAAAATCCCCTTCATCATAAAAACATAAGGGGACTGATTCATAGGGATTTCTGTATTTACGTCTCCGGCGCTGCGGGAAGAGCAACCTCTACGCCTTAGCGTAACAAATCGCAGGCATCCCTCCTCGCCTCCGCAGCTTCGGCTTGTTGGTCGCCTTCGGCGACCAGCCTCAGCCGCTCCGGCTCGTCCGATGCCTATGATTTGTTACAGCAGGCGGAGGCTGCTCCCCCTACGCGCCTCCGGCTCTATAAAACCACTCTAGGGGTAGGACAGACTCGTACCAGGTGGAGTCGGGGTCAATCAATTCGGTTCTTTGACATAAGTTGAACTAAACCTATTTTATTTGTTATCTGCCCTAATAGGTACTGTTAAATAAAACAAATTTCAATAAGAGATCATTTATCATGGTATCTTTCTTGTTTTTCATAAAATGGGTTTATATTTACATTATAAATAGAAATATTAAAAAAATATAGATATTTTAGAAATCGATTTTTTGTGAACCGATACATCAGCTTACGATTTGAATCGATTTAAAAATCGATCTTTTTCGGAAAGAATCGACATCCCTATTGACGTCGACAATGACATTACAAAATGGCGCCAGTTTATTAGCAGATTAGACATAAACATTGCAAGAATAATTGATTTTCAATTATTCTTTTCTCAAAAATTACGCGTTTCCGTATATTGAGACTTTGTGTGTGTGCTTATAATAGTGTAATCTTTCTGTAAAAATATGTATCAACACCAAACTCCACTGACGTCAATGGAAAGCTAAGCCTAAACAAATGCAACCATAATTGTAATACACCTTTCAATTTTACTAACATTGATTAAGTTTTTTCTTAAATAATAGGAATAAATCAGCAAGGAATGTGAAAAAATCTTAAAACATCACTAAAATTCTCATCTCTCACCTTATCTCCTAATGGAGATAAATAAATACTTACACCAATATATAACATCACTTGTAAAAATCAACATCAGTGTATGAAATGTATAATGATGTTCTTTTTGATAACACTAATAAACAACAGAAAGATACAAGAGATAATTAATACTTAATTAACAATCTAAAATAAAATAAGGCCAAATATGTTTGTTGGTAGAAAATGGCTTCAAAAAAGAGGTTTACAATTCACCTGTTTTTTTTGTATGTATGTTAAGCAATATCTCCATGAATTGTGGAGCAGATATTTTTTTATTGATACTTTTTCAATTTAATAAGTATTCAGGTGGTCCCACAAATTATGAGAAAAAATTCAGCTTTAACAGTAGCAAAATAGGGGTTACATTTTTAATGTTTAGACATGTAACATTGAGAGGTACTATTGCTTAGGTCACTCAAGAGTTAAATTGACTAAAACCATGAAGTGACTGATGTAGTAGCATTTATATTTATTAAATTAAAATCTCTTCCTATTTATATCAGCCCAGAATAGCCTATAGCTGAACATGGCTTTTATCAACATAGGAGAGATTAGCCTTAACCAACTCTAGACAGGTGGAATAACTAGCACTGTCTCACACCACTGACACTAGACCATTGCATGTCTGGATATTTCACACCTGTCATACAATATAATACACTGCTATAATTCAAGTGTCCATATAGAACATTATATTTAAGAGTGTTTCCTATTTCAGAGAATACTGTCCACGTACATGGAAATTATTGGTACCTTTTTTTTACTTTCAAAATTTTCAAAGTAGACATATACATACGAGAAACCTATTTATAATAAAGTAGTCAAACAATGGTGAAGGAAAATATGCATTCTTCATATTATCAAATAGTAATCATGGCACCCAATGGAGTTTCATATAGAAAGTATATCGTAATACCTAAAATTTCAAATGCACACAAGCATAATGTAGGGCAATATAGCTCAAATTTAGTAGACAAAAAAATAAACAACTTTTTACATCATAAATATTTATCAGTCAATCTGACATTCACAAATAATTAACATAAGAGTAGGTTAATCGTTATATCGATTAATCGGCATGAAAAATCTAGGCAACAGCCATTATCAGCTGAGCGAAACTCATTTCACAAAATGGCCGCTAAATAGTCTGCGACAGATTTATGTGAAGCAGCCATATTGACAATTTCAAAATTATTTTTATACGAAAATAACTACTTACATGGGATGTTGATTGTGAAAACCGTTGAACTGCATTCTATCTTTTTATTTTTAGGTGTAGGTGCTTACCTACGTGGTGGTAAACGCCTGAATAAGTATCTGGAACATTGCGATCGATATTATGTTCTCATTACAAATTTATTATTTATGCAACAGCTCTCTAAATTTTAAATGTATAAACGCAACTGAAAACGTAAACCGAACTTACCTCTCAATTAAGAGAGAATTTAATAAATATATAACTTTTTCATAAAATCCTTTCGACTGACCCGACGAACGAACAACTCGATAATGGAAAATGGAAGACGAATTTTGTAATGGCTACCGGAAATGGGGAAAGATTGCAAGCATAACAACTGTAATATCCCAAAAATAAGAATAAAAATATATACTGCCTAATTACAAGACAACATACAAAATCGTTAACTTGTAATACTAAAAGCTAAAATAAAATTACGATATTTTTTTAAGAAACAAGATTCTCGGTGTGGTAGGAAGCGACATAAACAAACATACCACCAGATGGACAGCAGCGTCTTTACAATATCGACTGCAAAATAAAAAATCTACGATTGCCAACCTTTGTCTCTTTAAGGGTAAACTATGTCTCTATAGGGGTAAACTATGGGGGAGGTTTATGTTCACCAATTGATTTTATAGGTTGCAAGGTAACGGTCAAAATTCCTTGAACAAATTACTTATTACCTCAATGATATGTTTTTTGAACCAGCAAACAAAGCTATTTAAAAAAGGATAGTTGTAAAACTTGGCATATATCATTCATTATTTTGTGAAACATCTTATTTAGAAAATGTATAAAACAGCGTTTTACCCCTTTTTGAATGTAAGAAAAACCTGACTAGAAAGTGGCAACAAATAACGGAAAAGGAAACTGAAATATTGATGTTGTTGTTGCAATGAATCGTCAATGAAGATAGGCAAATGACTTAGAACATACAGCCTAAATTGATTTGTATTTTGTGTTCAAAATTTATCAAAATATGTTTTTGCGTCACATTGCGAAGTTCTCGCGACATTTTGACGACAGCTTATTTTTATATATTAATTGATAGCAATAGTACTTTAAAACGTTTAATACACGGTCCATCTTGACGTACGTCCCGCCAAAGACGTTTAACCCCTGACGTTGTGCCATAAACGAATGGTTATTTACTTGTCAAAGTTAAAGACACCGCCAAAGAGTATAGTAATGAGTAATATTTAAAAGGGACCATTCTTTCTTTCTTCTTTTCTTAATAACTGGCTTTACGACTCTGGGATCTAACCCTTCTGAGCCTGAAGTTACAATATATTATAATAATTACCCTTCATAGTATACTGCTTCACAATATGTTGATGCGTCACATTATGCAGCCCTTGGGAGATTTTGACGGCAACTTGAGCAAGCAGACAGCTGACGGTTGACGATGGTATCTCAAGGCGCCTAAGCAGACAGACACCTTATTTTGAGAATCACATCACCATCAGAGCACTTGTTTCACAGTTTCCACTAATAGTTCACATGTGCAGATACTTAATACACAAAATCGCACCACTTTTACATACCAAAGTCCACTTCAAACCATTATTTAAACAATAATACAGGAGCATCAAACCGCCGCTGATCAAGTTCCAGCCAAAACTCTAAAAGGGACTCCTTAGAACAATAGACAAGAGTGTTCAGAAGCGTACAAATAAGCAAAGTATAGAGCGCGCGTATTGCTCAATGCCCAATATGCCAAGCGTAACCAGACGTTATATAAATACTAATACATAGTTGAGAATGGTTGAATTGTCATGCGCCAAATTTGACGCCTATGCGTTATTGTACTTAAGTTATTAATTTGATTATGTAAGTACTCATAAATATTAGGTAAGCGATAATTATAAGGCATGTTTTAGTTCAATAAATATAGATACGAATTTATGAAACGATGTTTATTAATCAAACACAAATTCTAATTAATTTGGTCCCCCTTAAGAACCATTTTATACAGGGTTACTGAGAACTCGACAACTTCCTAGCAGGTCATGATACCATATGTATGGCCGGGTCTCAAGACCTGTTCATATAAAAGGATTTTAGAGGTTTTTCGATAATCGCCCAGAATTTCGTATAAAATTTGTAGTGTTATGCTACTTACATATCATTTTACACTATTTTAAATTCATTTTTCCATTCTGTTTTGATTTTCTGCATTCACCTCAAAACTGGATATTTTGTATCACCTTTATTTCCATAGGATCCTGTAACGTTTTTAAACCATAAGAACACAATAACAAATCATTTTCACTTCGTATTTTCACGCTATCAGCACTTTTTAAATTGGTGTCGATGGAGTCTACCTTTTTCGATCTTTTATTTAGTTCTCCGTAACTCTGCAATTTCGGACTTCGTGCGCGCTGATGCGCTACCTTTTTTTCTATATCAATAATATCTCATTTTTCACTTAAATCTTGCCGTTTCTCTAGTACGAGCCTGAAACCAAAATTTTACATGTTTTGACATCGTTGTTTATCTGGTTGTCATTGCAATTTTTATTCAAATTCGTTACCGGTCTGTTGTTTCTACTTCAATATTTCCACATAAATACTCTTTTCCTCTTGGCCATTTACAAAAAATTTGCTTTTAATTTAAATAATTTTCCGTTCTCTCTAAAAAGGTATAAAAGCCGAACAATCGGTCAAGAAAGGCAGTCCTGCCTGAAGTCGCTGGGATCCTGCAAGCCTCTGTCTTGCCTGAAGTCGCCGGATCTTGCAAACCTCTGCATTCACCTGAAGTCATCGCCTAGACACGCCCACGCCTTCACCTACGCTGTGCGTGCTCACTCCAGGCGCTGCGAGCGCTTATTCCAGGCGCTGTGGGCCTACCACCAGCACAGCCTGTGTATAATCTGTGGGCAGCGAATACCACCACCAAAAGCGGTGTACCACTTGGATCTTCGGGCTCCGCTTCAATACTCATCATCTTTATTATCCCTTTTTTTAGAAATAATTGTAATTCACGTCACCCATCTTCATCTTCATACTTCATTCTTTTTATAAAACTGTAAATATCTTTTTAAATTTTAAATAAATTATTTGTTTTTGTTCTATTTTCGTTGTTTTGTTGTTGTTAGGTTAGGTTCTTTTATTCTTGATTGTCGCTTCACTACAAATTATAAATAAAATTAACCTTTTTTTGTATGCTTTCTTTTAAGTTTTATTATTTTCTTGACGCTTCAACCAAGCGAATACGATCATAAAAAGTACAAAAAGTATGTTCACAGTAAAAAATTATGAGTTTTAATAACTTTTTTCTATTTTTACACTAGATACTTAAAAATATTTTAAAAAATATGGCCATTTAATCAGCTATCCAAAAAGGTAATAATATCCCAGTGAAATCAATGAATAATAATAATAAAAGGGTCTTTTACTTAACGCAGATAGAGAACGGCAAAGAATGATTACTCTTAGGAACGAACTTGCACACTTTTAGTCACTTGGCGTCTGATTGGTTGTTGACAACTATTCAGAAAGCAGACGACTATTTTAAATTAAGTCATTGCGACGCTCGTTAGTTAGTTTCTATTATCGCTGCGCTTGCGTGTTACGTGTTTAAACTTACTTCTAATAAACTCTTATCGCGTTAATTAATTTGTTATTGTTTTCAGTCCTTGTCGTTATTGTTATTATTGCTGTTACCGTTATCTGTTACTAACTGTTCATTGTTACTGTTTTTGTGCGTCGAAGTTTAAATGTCGTCATATTCTAATAAAGAATATGCCTACATCATCCACTGTTATGTGTTTGCTGACGGACGTTGCTGGGGCTCGTAGAGAATATCAACCATACTTTCCAGATCGCCGGCTTCCCCACGCTTCTGTCTTCGTAGCTTGCTTTCAAAAATGTACGAAGCACAGATGACTGCTCGCAAAGTGGCGCTCATGCTAAAACAATGGTATCCTAGCAGGTGACTCTTCGAACAAAAAAACATCGAAGTTTACTCGATGTTGATGAATTAACAAAACATCGTATTGATTCGATGAATCGATCCTTAACATTGAGTGGCTAGGTATGGAAACTTTCAATTCAGTCTAAATCTCTAGGTCAGAATTAAATTAAATACACAGAATAATTTGTAGGAAAATATTCCATTAACAATTGCTGAATTTGTTTAATGGTGCCTAAATTAATCAGTACAAAGATACATTTTTTGACTTATGTTTATTTTTGTACACGATATTTTTGCATAATATGTCCCGTTCGTACTGTCCGATTGCGCTGTCATGGACGTTGGACATCAATACAATATTTTAAAAATAAAATATTTATTTATAGGCAACGTCTTGCAATCGTCTTTTCTGACTTGACCTCCATAGAAATAATGCTATATTTTAATTGTTGATAATACTTTTATTTTTGGTTAAGAACATAGTAATGACAAGTTAAAACTTCATTAAAAAATATTGTGTTTGTCCTGACCTACTATACTCTTTGGCTTGACCTTAGGTTTTACTAAGTTTGAGAGTTTTGGCGGGAACTTGAACAGCGACGGATTGCTGCTCCTGTATTATTGTTTAAATAATGGTTTGAAGTGGATTTTGATATGTAAAAGTGATGCGATGTTGTGTATTAAATGTCTGAGCATGTGAACTATTAGTGGAAACGGTGAAAGAACTGCTCTGATGGTGATGTGATTCTCATGATAAGGTGTCTGTCTGCTTAGGCGCCTTGAGATACCATCGCCAACGGTCAGCTGTGTGCTGGCTCAAGTTGCCGTCAAAATCTCCCAAGGGCTGCACAATGTGACGCATCAACATAGTGAAGCAGTGTACTATGAAGAATTATACAATGTAACTTCAGGCTCAGAAGGGCTAGAACCCAGATCTGTAAACCCAGTTATTTAAAAAAATAATTTACTATATTGGTGTTCAGGCTGGTGCAACTTCAATAGTAAAAATTATATGTACTACAGGGGTCAAATTTTAATGACTGTTATCTCTTATTTCTGATTTTCGTAATATGTCTGTGAGGGACTGCAGTGGACTGTA